ACTTCTCACTTCGCACTGAGTACTCAAACTATTAAACTTCTTAGCTCAAAAAAGAAAATTAAGCCTCAATCAAGCATTAAATAGCTTACAACCACTAAGTGTACTCCCTCATGACGGATCTATTAAAAATTCACTATGGACTAATTATAAGTTCTTTTGCTGGTTCATTCACCACAGTGAACACAGTTCGCGCTATATTAAATCGTCCTTGCGTGCCGTCTTCACTCAGTGATCCCACCAAACTCTGGTGAACTACGCAGCTGCCGGATTACTGCTTGTCGAGAAGTCAAACATTTTTGTTTTGAAACTTTCTTATTTAACTTACTCTGCCAGCTACGCTTCTTGCCTCTTGCGTGGAGCGTTAACGGCAGTCCTGCTACCAACGATTGCTACTGAGCTTCGAGATTTGCGAGCGCAGCTGCCTCGCCTGCTTCTCTCGTACTTTAAATGAAGTTTTCTATTGGAATTAAAACTTTTGCCTCTAATTAAATTTTTATACAACAGAAATTATACAAGTTTATTATCCCACAACCAAGTAAATAAAGAAAACAATGGAATTAGTAAACACTGTATTTACATTACTACTTACCCGCAAGAGAGCGAGAGAACTAGTGAGCAGTACGGCGAGGCAAACTTTTGTTCAGTTCAATGAATTAAAAATGAAGAAAAATTATATGAAAGCAGATATTGTAATTTATAGTGCTTGATTAGTTTCGATTAGGTAATGCTGGCTGGCTTTCACGCCATACGTAGTTCTGCCTGTTCTTTGTAATGCCAGTCGGAGATGCAGTTAAGTTCGAGTTGCAGTAGTCGTCATATAGGTCGTCAACTCTCTTTGCGCAGCTCAAGAGAGTGTTGATATCGAATTTAGATAATCCATCTAGTCCTTCGAACTGTGAAGCTCCTCCTAGATTTATAAGACGATTTTTTTCAATGATCGAACAGAAGCAAAGCAAATGTTCTAGCTTCTCACTCATGCCTTCTTCTCTGCACTTGCATGTGTCATCGTTGAGTTTACCCATTAAGTTCGTCTCGTGCGGTGACATTGGGTTGTGTCTTGACATTGACAGTCCCTACGACACTGCGCGAGCAAGTGCTTTTACATATGATATTGGCAATCCTGCATTTGACCCGTCCCATATAGCACCTAGTCCTTTCGGAAATTCCGTGCAGCCGCCGCATCTTGCCTTTCCGGCACCGACATTTGCCTATAAGTAAGTCGATGTAGCACATCGGTGTATGACCCTTAGAGCATTATTTATCACTTATCACGACTAATTTCTAGTGTAACTATGTCGCCTGCATGGGTCATAAGCTTGGGTGCCCTTCAATTTGTTTCAAAAGCTTAATTGCGACATGTGACCACACATTGACAACATATACCGCTAAGGAGAATGCTCCTCTATGTGCTAATCTGAGCTAATCTCACTTCGTTCCGTTCCATGGCACAATAGATCTTATATCTATTGTATGATAAGATGGCGGGTTTCACCTGACTATTTCCAGACTATTGACGATTGCCTCATTGCAGATATTGTTGAATGCTCCAGTTCTCCCTATATTTAGGGTCAGTGCGTGAAGGGCGGTCTGTGTGGGTCTACCCTTCGTACAATCGTGCTGTGTTTTTAATATTTTAGACGTTGATAGCTTGCCTCCAATATAAGCGTCTACAATAGTTTCGAATGTCTTACAGGGCAGGCTTATTGGTATATACTCTTCCGAATAAAGAAGAACTCCTTCGCCTGACTTCGGCATGAATAATTATTTTGTTGTAGCTTTTGGCCCTATACATTGGCTTCTAATGAGCTTTAATCATTCCGAGTGTACTTTTCCAATACTTGTGTGAATTCAGAAAAATTATTTTATTATGCCGTCTGAGAATTTTGAAATTACTAATAATCAGTTATTTAACCACTATAAGCGTCACCTATCGGAAAGCTTTCAATACCTAGCAAAGCATTGGAGCTTCCATTTTATTTTTTTATGATATGGATTTGCTCACATCACAGCTTGTACTTAAGGTTTATTTATCATTTCATTTCTATATTCTCTCATAAGAGAATGTCCCTGAAAATTATTTTCAAATCATAAATCTTCCACATACGAGTATGTACTGAAGATGTGGTTCTAACCTATGTGCGTGAAAAAGCTTGGTAGGAAAACTTAAAATTTACAATTCCCTACTTAAAAAATTCATTGTTATTCATTTAAGTAGACAATAAAATAGTAACTGAAAATTATCCATTTGCCGTTATTGTCACACAATGGCGACAATAAAATGTGCACTTAACACTTTTTCGCCAACGAACATTAAAAAGCCATTAAAACACTGGTAATGGAAGAACATAGAAGTGCATTTTAGCATAAAGAGGCAGAAGGAGGACGACATGCGATGTAAAATTATATGTACGAGTATGTAGACTTTCTGCGCACTAGTGAAAGACTACGCCCAAAGAAGAGGCGAATGCTTTGTGACATTCCCACTTAGAAGCAAGCAAAGCTAGTTTATGTCGTCAAGGTTATGGAACAAACTTTTCGATGAGTTAACACCAAACGGAGATGGTGTTCCTGTGGCTACACAAAGATAGCACATTATATGCTAAATATACGTTAAGTATCAGTCTGGTTAGGTAACAGTCCATCACAGTATCTAAACCTTAGTTGCGTCAAGATTACTTGGGTCCCATAGAAGAGCTTGAGCTCCACGTCTGCTATAGTACGCTGCAAGAAAGTTGAGGATGGTTTCGGCTGACTCATTGTGAATAGCATTTATGATATGAATGTGGTTCCTATAGCCGAATACTTTCTTCCTGATATGCCGGAGGGCATATATCTGCAGGAGTGATATCTACAGTAGAGACTCAGAAGATATAGCTTTCAAGACATAACAAAGTGCTCTTTATCTGATAGCATAGATATCACGCAATATGGATGATGATGAAATAATGACTTATCTGGACAAGAGTACTATTCGGAAGCCATGCTGATGAGTTGTTGGGCTCAAATGGTGGGTGAACGCCGGGAGCACCAAGGATTTAAGAGTCCTGGCTATTGGTAAGAAAAATGATTGCGGGCGATATTACTCCAATTTGTTGATGGATATCCCAGGTTTCAGCTGCCCCATCACTATACTCTGTATCCAATTTTCCTACTCTGTTTTGGTATCCGTATGACTACTTGTGGCTATGCTCGATAAATTTGACCGTTTTAGTACTCCCATAAAGACCACACTGCCACTCCTGGACCTCTTTCATGGTAAATTCTAGTGCTGCTGTTGTATTTGGCAACTTCCGCGAGTGCATTATAAGGTTGACTAAAGTATTTTCTTTTCTTAATAGGCAAAGGCACCGCTTGCGAGATTATGACCGATTCAACAATAGCGCGCAAGTCGTTTTTTCTATTCGATGTATTGTGAAATTATGTCCTTCTCCATCTGCTCCTTCCCATGGAATTCACGTTTTTCATCCATTCGTGTGGCTTTACTTAGCCAGCGAAGCCGCGTCTCTATCCTTTGAACTCTTTTACACTTCATCATTTCATTGTTTTCGATAATCGCCGGAGTTAATGCGCAAACGACCATAAATCTTACACAAAATATAGCCCTCGAAAACCCTCAATATTATCATCGTCTACGCTTCTTCACTACGTAGCAGGATCAGGACAGTGATGAATGACTTGATGATCTTTGTCTTCGTTAGTTGGGAGAAGACTTTAGTTTTCAATTACATACTCAACCGGAAATAGCATCTGTACTCTTCTAATGGAGTATGCAGATGAATGGAAAAACCACGCATGCATGGAAAGTTTTTGACGACCACTCACTTGGGCTCAGGACTTTCTTTCTTAGGCCAAGTAGATAGGTAACTGGGGAGCCAATAAATATCTTTTTCGAGCTGAGCTAGACTCTGTAGGCGAGCCCCTTCTTCTCCAAGTTAACAGGAGTTCGCCATTCATTCCTTCCTTTTGCAGTTTAACGCGAATTGGAAATACCTAAAGTACGGCCAGGTTCTTCTCTGCCTAGTGTTGGTGTTTCCAAAAGAGTGTTACTACATTGAAAACTTTCAAAGCGCCATCTAGATGGCTTAGCCGGCGTAGTCTTGATTCCAACTATGTCGTACAGCTCATCCATTTCCATTGATTGCGCTATTCGCCGTTGCTTACTAGTAGGGGACAAAATTTTTGGAAAACACATAACGGGATCACATATGATGTTCTGATTTTCCAAACCTTCGTACCAAAGAGCAGAACCGGAATGATGAATGAGCGCACTACGCTATTGTTGATGCCAATTATGTCAATATTAGCAGCGTACGCCATCAGATGTACACGCTTTCAGAAGGTAGTAACGCCATCTTGTTTGCAACCTATTTTACTATTGGAGAAGTCCTTTCCGACCCTGACGGAGCTTTTGGTATTGCTTAACGTATGTTTACACAGCCGTATAGGTTAAGAGTTGATACCCAATTCGGACATGAGCGCAGAGACAGCTCACTTTCATTCTATCGAAGTCGGCTTTAAAATAGACGAAGAGGTGGTGTGTTTTGATCTTCTTATCGCGGGTCTTCTGCAAGGTTAGATAAATAAAGCCATTTGTTTTGCTTACGGTCTTTCACACAATATGCTCGATACAACCTTTTATGAGATATGAAGAAGGCTTATCCCACGGTAATCAGTGCAGACTGTGGGATCTCTCTTTTTTGGATTGGGCTGAGCACACTAAGCCTATAGTTATCGATGACATCTTCAACCTACTACATCTCTTCATCCTTAGCACTTTTGTAATTAACGACATATGCGAGATCCGTTTAATGCCACTAAAATCTAGGTCTTAATAGTGCCGTAGGTTTAAGGTATGCAAACATCGTGAGACCGACTATTAAATATGCTGTTCTTGGAGCTAGAGAGACATTTCATTGGGAAATGATGTTTGGTCGCTTTCCGAAGTCTCTTCTAAAAAAGGATATTCGTTCACGAAATGAAAAGCAAAAATTTAATTTTTTTGTTGTTTTTGTTTTATTTTGTTTAGTTTTTATGTGTATTTTTCTAAAAAGTATAATTTTTAATATTAAATCGAAATTGGAAAAATCGAGTCCGAAAGTTTGCACATTAAGTTACATTTGGCATTCGTGTTGGAGTGTTAAAATTAATTGAGAAAAACAAAGAAAAATGCTTAAGAGAGCTAACAAAATTAACTTCCAGCAACGCTCTTTCGTCTTCATTGTTATCAGCTACATTAAAATGGATGTCGTGCTTCAAGCACCTACTCTTCTACTCCTTTCTTTTCTTCTTTCCTTCTATTCTTCTTTTCTTCGTCCTTCAATGCTGAATACGCATACAACCAATTCGCATTCCAGCGAGCACACTTTACGCAACTAAATACATATTATACATATGTATGTACATACAAACAACTACATTTTTGCACCGGCACATATAATATATACATACATATGGTCGTATATGCAAACATTTAAAAATATGTTTTCTTTCTTTATTTTAACTAGCTACTATATATTCTAAGCACTAATCCTCAAAAATCGCGCCACCAACACGCACAAACCGGTCGCACTCAACATAGTCACGTGATTGGCATTGCCGAGACGTGGCGGTGCCGCATTGCAGCCATCCTCGAAACAGTTGCAGATCGTCTGTTTGAATCCCTCATTGTCGGCATCGAAGCAATAACTGTTCTTCTCCTTCTTGTTGTCCAACTTGCCGCAGCTGCGTATGATGCGATGCTCCCCGGTCACCTCAATCTGCGTCACTATCTTGCGACAAAACATATCGGGCGATTCGCATTCCCCAAGGAATTGGTCGTCACGCGGTGCACGTGGTGTGACTAAACGTAAGACAGTGCAGTCCTCTTGCAAGTGGGAGTTGCACTGGTGACAGCGGAGAGCGTTAGCTGTGTGTGTGTATGAAAAATGGGAAAAAAAGAAAAAAGAAAAGGTGAGCTTAAATAGTGATTTCCAAGTATTTATTTTTATTAAATTAAATAAACTAAAGAAAAAAAAAATATTTTAAATTAAGTCAGGGATGGGAGTTTATTCAGTTTATCGGTGTAGATTTAAGTCGACTTCTATACATTTGTATAACAGATCGCAAGTCACGTAGATGTTGGTGGCTTGAAAGTAACAGTTTCACAGTATCGAACTGTATTTGGAGGCTCTGTTGTTCACTTGCGTCTTCACGCTTTCAGTAAAACCAACTCGTTCCCCTTACCAGGCATCTTACATTCATATGTATAATCAACTGTATATTATCATTGACATCTCATAAACACTGAATTTCAGCCTCCTACGAACGGTTAAAATCACTGAAGAGAGGTTAACATTCACCACCGAGGAAGATCAACTAAATTTTTTCGATAATTTTGGTGCCAGAATTGGACCCCTGACCCTTCGCCCTATGCTCAAATTTTGTTGTGTCAAATTTTTGGGAAAGATTTCTTGGGATCTCTTGCGCCAGTCATCATTGTTTCGTGTCTTCAGTGTATCGAATATCTATAAATTAGAGAACTGGGAAATGTATTGACTTTATCACACACACTTCACCCAAACGTGATTAAATGGGAAAAGCGAAAATTTTAGCTAAACGATCGAAGCTTATTTATACCGACAGCAATAGATTTCCATACAGAGTCCAGGTTAACCGACTTTGATAAGAAGGCAGCTATCGATGGTGTTGAAAAATTTCTTGAGTATTGTCGGGTTTTCAGAGTAATTTTAGACGTTCCATATTAGATGCGGCTCCGATATCGGTGAGACTCGGTGAGAAGTGAACTTATTCGCAGAGAAATTGGTGCTCAATGAAAATATACAGTGAGAGAAGTTTTCTATTAGGCGTCCAGGTTGACAAAGGCTGATAACCTGGCCTAATTAAGTTACAGCTATGTTATTGACACTCGACTATTACGGCCACCATTATTTGAAGATAATGTAACCTCCGGTATACGTTACGTCCAATAATTTTTCGAACAGAGCCAGGTTAGATGGGTTCATGTTTATTGTATGTATATCACGTGAGCTTGCGCGGTTAGTAACTTTGCACTTAATATCAATGGATAGAGACACGCTTGACTCCTGAACTTGTGAGTCTGACATCAGCAGCAATTCGTTATAGAGACGTAAACTCTATTCTTTTACTTATTACGCTCACATCTCTCGCTAATACTAATAAGTTCACAGTATTAAAGTTTTTTTGTCCCCCAGACGGTCTTCTTCTTCTACTTGCAGATAACTAGTTGATCACTGCCAAAATTGATAACATTGGGTTGACTTGTATATGAAAAGAAAGACACTCTCTTACCGAACAAAACTCTACAAGTTGCTCCTTTTTCCTTTTTACGGTACAAAAGTGTGGATGGTGACGATGCTTTGGTGAGTCAGCACTAGGGACTTTCGATAGAAAAGTCATTGAAATATTCGTCACCATTGGCACATTGGGACCATGAATAAATTAGTGAGTTTTTTTTTTTGAAATAGGAAACTATTTTATAAAAACATGTCCTATATTAATATTCAAAGCATTTCCCATCTCAAACTATTGTAGTAGAACATATTTTCATTTTTCGGTCAATTTATGGATGACATGCCAAAAGAACTGAACCGGCTTGACAGAAACCTGTTTATTTGTGATACCCTATTCTGATGGGAATCATATTCCAGTGAGGGCTTTTAAAATCGACCGAAAGAAATGGTAGCTAGAAAGTACAAGGTCTGGGCCGTTGTTTACAAATAGTTTTTAACCGGTATTGCAACATGACGGAGAGGATTACCATGATAGAAAATATATGTCTAGTCGCAAGTTCTAATCATTCTTTGACAGTCGCTCGCTTCGGTTTGATGAGTTAATGATTTCATGCCCTTCTGATTCCATCAAACAGAGACCATAATTACTTTAACGCCATGGCTATCCGACTTTTCTGTTGATTAGGCTTCACTTATGACCTTTTGCACTTAGAGTTGTCATATTGGATCAATTTTTCACAAACAGTCACTATCCAATGCGACTTATTTTCATACCGGTAAAGCAACATTTCTGACAAGCGTCTTTGGACGGGTATTCATAAGGCCTGAATGTATCCAGCTGTTTTGAAACGTTTTGACTACCAATAACCAAGTTACGCCATCTGTTGCCAAACCGAACGTGTTAAGTTATAGACCCGAATTGAAAGACAGAGTCGGCTAGGTTATGTTATCTGTATAGATGATACGATCGAAGCACAGGTACTGAATTCACTTCTTGAAACGGTAAAACCAAGATACTACTGTGGAACTAGTGCTGACTCAGTTGCAATCGCGTACAGAAAACATGGAAGAGTTTTCTCGAAAGACAGATCTTAGGAATAATAAAATCAGAGTAAGTTGTAAATTAAACAATCGTGCCCATATACGTATATTTCTATATGTAACCATTTATACGGAAAGCACTGTCGCCATGCATATACATATTCGGTGTAGTAAAAAGAAATCCATTTAATTTTGCATGTAAGTTCAGGCTTTAATTGCCATATTTACAATGCTCCGGTAAGAGCCGTTTTGTTCGATGACTGTTTGCCATTTTAAAGGTAATTTCATTATGTCTCATGAAAGCCCTCGTTGCTATTGGCAAAAAATTGATACAGTCGATTTTCACAAGCCTCTCTCGAAGCGAATTTTTCACCAGCAAAATTGTTCGGCATGGACATTAACTGATAGTAATCACATGGTGCAATGTCCGAATCATAAAGTGGATGCATAGGAACTTCGCTACCTAGCTCCCAGAGCTTTTGACGAGTCACTATCGATGTATGGCCTGTCATTGTCCCGATGGAACACAATTCCTATCCTATTGACCAAAGCTGAATGCTTCTGAGCGATTGATTCCTTCAGACGGTCCCATTACTGACAGTACAGTTCCGAGTCAAGAGTTTTGTCGTATGAGAGCAGTTCATAGCAAATAATTGCCTGCCAATCCCATCAAACACACAGCAAAACCTTCCTGGCCGTCAATCTTGGCTTGGCCATCGTTTCCGGCGACTCACCGCGTTTCGATCACAACAGTTTTCGCTTTACGTTGTCGTAATTGGATCACCTTTGATTGCCAATCACCAACCGCTTCAGAAATGGGTCGATTTTGTTGCTCGATTCGTAGATGGAAATTCTGTCCAGAAGGCTTTTTTTCTTTTCGTATCCAGCCTTATTCAAATGGTCCCAAGCAGTATTTTGTGCAACCTTGGGCAATCGAAATAGTGCTTGCATGGATGTCGAACTCGGAAATGTCCATGATTTTATCGACATTGACGGCAATTTGAATCAACGAAACCGAAATTGTTCTTGATGCGCTGTTGCAGTACCAGGACCATAAAGGCTGTTTGCATTTTCGCCCTCATCGAACAAAACGGGTAAAATATAGCGCATTTTCTCTTTGCGAGTGCCCATCTTTGACGCACGCTCAATCAAAACTGAATCAACCAAACACAAAACTGTCAGAAAAACATTTTTAGTGCGAAATGTCATCTTTCTAACGCCATCTAGCGGAACCCGATCGGACTTATACAACAAATGAATAAAGCTTTCTTTTGGAAGTACAATGGATTTCTTTTTACCACACCTGATATGTATGTACATACGATCGTACATATTCCATTTGGCGCCACAAACTACACAACTTTCGTCTACTGTAAGTAAGTTGTCCAAAATCCAATGAACGAAAAAATTCAATCATTGTACTTACATACGTAAGTATAATAACGATTATGGCATAAAAAACTAAATAGAATTTTACGAATCATCATCATCGTAGCAATAGCAAAAAATCATTACGGTCATTGAAGACAAGTATTGTCCATTAAATTGTAATAAAGCTTTGTTATAAACATTTGTCTTCGCAGAAGAGCGAAAAAAATAAATGTGTATGATGCCCTTCCTTTCATTGCGTTGCTTCATATTAATTACGACAAAAAGCTGTTGTTGCTTTTGTTGTCTAATAGGAAGAGCCATAGATGCTGGACAATTGCTGAATGACGAATAAAGTACGAAGGACAATTGTCAACGTTAGTGAAAAACATTAAACCTCTAAATCTTTTTGTTTTTGCTTTTTCCGGTATTCTTTTTCTTTTATTTTGTTGATACTCAAATTTTGACGGCATTAAATAATTCGAATGACAAACGAAAGAGTCTCAAAATTATAAGTAATGGAAATTAAAAGAATGGCTTATATTTTATAATATATTTTTCTATTATCTTTTATGAGAATTTTTTAGAGTCCTCTATTCCATAGAAGCGCAATAAGTCTCGGCACTTAGGAAAGAAATAATTTGAAAATACTTTTCGTTTTAGCCTAGTCAGGGCTCTAAGCCTAATCCAGCCAAACAAAAGATAAAATAAATCCAACTCTTCCACCCATCAGCAATTCAAGCGATGGTGGTCCCCTCTGGGAAATGTGTTGTGGCAAATAAACTGGACTCACTTTTAACACGCACTTCGGACTGAAGACACGTTTTTCATCTCTAAAATTCTCTATATTTCAAGTTAAAAGTTAAAGTTTATATGTATGGTTCCACTTGCTACATCACGCCCGGTGCAGTACAGTCCTAGTTGGCTAAAATCAGCTAACTTAGTTACAACACAGAGAACAATCTGAGAAATGAAGTGAGAATACTGTCTACGGATATATCGTGCGATCACCTGAAAGATCATCAGAGTAGTTACTATTGTACATCGCTGAGGAGGGGAGTTGTTCCTATTGACGCGTGCGTTTCAACGAAGACACGGCAAGTGTGTTTGCGGTTACAAAAAACAACAGAAGACAGGTCAGAATGTATGTTTTAAATCAGATAACGACGAGTTCAATCATAGAGCCCTGCCTTAATTGCTCTCTAACTTTATACAGTACGGCAATATCCTACGGTCAATACTTTCG